TGACGAAACTCTCTCCCTTTTCCCAATGTAGGAAGGAGGCAAGGATGCTGGGATTCCCTGGGACAGTCTCTTCTTTTTAAAAATAGAACTCAGCTTTAACTCCCACTGCTTGGTTCCTTCCTGCACAGCCAAGATACTGTCTAGAGATCTGAGAGTCCCACAAACCTAAGCTTTTGGAACAGGATATAACTTGAGATAAGCAAGGCCAGAAGGCTCCAGTCTCTCTCTCTCTCTCTCTCTCTCTCTCTCTCTCTCTCTCTCTCTCTCTGTCTCTGTCTCTGTCTCTCTCTCTCTCTCTCACTCACACACACACACACACACACGCACGCACAATTACTTTTTTTAACAGTCACCTCTTGGTATCCATGGATGATTGGTTCTAGAATCTTTCTTGGATACCAAAATCTGTGGATGTTCAAGTTTCTTACAAAATGACATAGGGTTTGCATCTTTCTGTATACTTTAAATCATCTTGGATTGTAATAGCTAACACAATGGAATGCTATAGAGATAGCTGTTGTACTGGCAGCAATATCAGTAAGAAAAAGTCTAAACACGTTCAATACAGAAGCAACTATTCTTTCAAATATTTTCCACCTATGGTTTATTGAATTTGCTATGGATAAGGAGCCCTTTCATGCAGGGGGCTGACTGTATATGTACGTGTGTGTTCATACACACACGACTGTTACATAAGTAAACAACAACTAAGCCAGTAATGACAAGAAAGGAACTTTATCTATTTAGCTATTTCTCATTTGAGGGGTTTAACTGCATCTCAGAGTGAGAAAGACACACAGGGTGTGGAGTCCCTATCCCCTTAGTCTTGTGTCTAGTTGCTCTCTTTTGTCAAGGAGCCTCATGTGCTATTACCTAGTCCCTTTGCATGAAATTTCAAATCTAAATAAAATATGAGCACATTTTATGCACGAATAATGGGGTCAACCATGGGAAAAGGGCAGGACATAATGAAAGTTGAGGAGAAAGGGCTCTCCCGTGTAGAGTAGCCCTGGACTGGAGCTTCTGCCTGCAGGGCTCAGTTCATTTAATGAGTCCATAGCATTGCCAGATGTCAAAGGCAAGGCACACACAGTGATACTTAAGCCTCTACACCAAAAATACTAAATGAATATAGTGCGCCGCTGCAGAAGAGCAGAGCAAGTCATGCCACCTACTGCAAGGAAGGGTTGGGGCACAAGTCCAGGTATGGGGTACACTCATGGGCTTCACTTCCTAGTTCTAGCAGTTTAGTAAATTAATCAAATATCCTCTGTATTACTTTATTCTCCTAACATGATGTGAAAAATGAAGCTATTTAACACGTAAAGAAGAAAGAGTTCAAAACTGTATATTTTTTTCTAAATTTGGCAATCCCTTAATAGTTCACATTTTGGATTTTTGTTATGGTGGATTCACAATAACATGACCCATTAGGAGGCTCACATGTGGTTATAAACTAGTTTATGTAAGTGATATTTTTTTAACAAGCATTCAAGTCTTCCTTTAATTTAATTCAGTACATCATCAGTCATGTAATGTTACTCCCTAGGATTTAATTTCACATTTTGGGAGATGAATTAATTCTTTCAGGCCACTGGGTTGCAATTTAGCTAGCATATTACAGCTTGAGTGTGCTATGTGAACCTTACTGATCTAAATAACCTAACTTTCCATGAAAAATTTATTGACAGAATAAGCCCAACTGTAAAACCCTTGTGTCAAAGGTAATTTTGGTAAAATATAAAACTGACTGATTTCATTAGTTTGGTTCCCGGCAACAAACCACTCCTTCCCTGTCTGTTCCACGGATGGGGTGGCCTCCCTTTTGTATGACATCCTCCGATCCACTATGAGAAGCTTGGAAAAGAGTATCTCATTATCAATCCTCGTTGTTGCCCCGAACTGGTGGGCTGTGGTAGCTTTCTTATTTGGGACCAAGACTCACAGGTTTTAAAGATTAATGCATTGGAGGAATTATAGGCCAAAACTAACCAGTTAATTTGCATTAACGAGAAAGGACAATGAAATCCACAGCCTGTAGAATAAGAGAATAACAATTGCTTCTTCCTCATCTAATAATCATTTAGGCACCAACAACTTCTCTTTGTCTATTTCCTGCCCTCTGGTTGCACCTCATGGCAAGGCATCCTACCAGCTTAGTGTTTTTATTCAAACATCTCTTCTCACATTCCACATCTCTCTTCCTGTACCCATCCTTTTCCTCTCTTATGTTTAGCTCACTTTGGAATGAAACTGAGGCATTGCATGCTACCTTTACTGAAAAAAATACATTTCATATTTTTAATTCTAAAAGTTCACATTGATGTTTGTTAAATGAATTAATTTTATTTAACTTTCAAGGACTTAGTGTTTTGTCTTGTTTTCAAGGGAAAAGGCACTGGCTCTCAAAATAAGTAACATTCATTACGCCTCTGCTAAGGTATATAATGGATTCCTGGAGACTTTATCTACTATGGCAGCCATGATATTTTTCTTAGCATGTTCTAACTTAGATTAGGTTTCTGATTCAGTAACAGGTGTGGCAGTATTTTTCTACAAGAAAAAAATGCATTGGAAGCAAAGCCAATTACAGTAGTCTTAATAAAGAATTAAATGCAAATTCTAATTTAAAATAATAACACAAACCAATAAATGGAAGGAAATTAAGAGCTAAGTCTACCACTGTGACCTTAACTAAGCCCCCGCCACCAGCACTCACACAGTGAAACCATATGGCATTCTGAAGTCAGACACTCGCTTGACATGTTGTACGGGTAGTTGCACCTAGACACCTGGGTTGAGTTAAGTGTGCTGTTTCAGCCTGTATTCATTAGATTTATTGGCTCGTGTCTCCACTTCCATATTATTTTTAATGTTTTTTAATTAAATTTCCTTTCTATAATGCTAGTGAATAGTCAAAATTAAATAAATAAAACTATTTCTCCAAGTTACCAGTTGACCATGAACTTAAAATTTATTTTCTGAATCAGGCTTTTCAGTTTAGCCCACATGATAGTAATACCAAAATTTTATACATGCATACATTGTGGATTTTACAGGGAGCTGTCACATTTTTAGTGTCATTTAATCCTCATAACCTTGATGTGAAGTAGGTATTCATGAGAGACGAATTTAAGGGACTTACTGAAAATTATATAAAAAGAACACAGATTAATTAGAATTCTTGTGAATCCAGGTCCAATAATTCTCTCTACTATTCTACCAGGTTTATGCTAGGTATGAGACTCAGAAAAGAAAAAGGAGGAAGTCAATGAACTCTAGCATATTTCCCCATGAAGTAAAAGAAGGTGCTTTCTCATCAATAGGGCCAAGTTGTTTTCTGAACTATTGAAGATGAAATATGGTGACTGTCACATTGTACATTTTCTCATCTTTGGAAATTGGGACAATCTCGTGTTCTATTCCAGCTTCATTAAACTAAAGGGCCTAGTAATTTAACCCCTCTGGTATTTCACAAAGCTTTTTCAGTATACTCCTGCCAAAAGCCATTAGAATTTTTCAGGACAACTGAGTAAATACCTTGTCTATCAAAAACAACCTCGGTTTGTCCTGTGGCTTAACCCATAACACTTATAAATGTGCTTATTAACACACACAGGAAAACAGACAATACAAGCTGCTAGCTTCTCAGTTCATTTCTCTTTCAGGGAGCATTCATTCCAGCAAGAACCTGCCATCAGATGTTAATTTCCAAAAGCAAAAAGGTGAGGACTTTGCAGTTACAGGTAGCAGATGGCTACCTGCTGAACATGATGCCAACCAAAATGCCAGGATAAAATCTGTTCTTCTTGCTATAGGGCAGACTGAACTGAATAAATATCCAGAACCAGGAAATTAACAGGATTCAACCTGTGGGAAAACCTTTAATTCTAGAAAGAGCAAGGGAATGTAGATCAATCAGAAGGTCTGGGTTTTGTGTAACATTGGGAAACTCAATGGACTTTCCTGGTCTTTGGTATCTTCAACTAAAATAAAGCATTCTAATTTTTCAGTGAAGCATTTAATAAATTTAGCAAATTAATTAAAGTCAGGTCACGTGGAGGAGAAACTGATTTTTGTTTAAGTTCTGACAACCCTTGTCAACAGCAATCTACCGGTAAAGGGAGGCATTTTAGCCAGGCATGGTGGCACAGGCCTGCAGTCCAGTGTGGATTTAGCAGCGTAAAGCCCGTAAAGTTCCAAAAGATGGTAAATTATTTTTAACACCCTAAATTCACTTTAGAGAAAAAAAGCAGCATGGTGACATTTTCTTTCTATAGATAAATATATATAAAGTGACATATCACTTTATATATCAATATTTAAATACATGGCCTCTTATATAGCTATTAGAATGTTAAATGTTTATTGTTCTTAGTTTTATATACAGTAGGTACTGAGAAATATGAAGAAATATCAATCTGGAATTATTTTCATTTACTGACATGCATTTTGTTAACATTAAAAATTGAGTTACAACATTTGTCTAAGAATAGGATAAAATCTTTGCCAGCGATACTGTTTACTGTGTTACCAACAAGGATACCTTAAGAAAATATCAATTAATCGCAAACAGAAAATTGTGATGAATATTTTTTCACTGCATCCTAGAAGTACATTTTATTTTGTTCCAAACACACAAAAGGCCAACATAAGCATTTCTTATGGTGTCCATCTGAATAATAGAAATTCACACTCAATTGTCATCTGAAAAAAAAGACTGAGAAAACAGACTCGTTGAGGTTTGCATTAAGTGAGCTTCTGAAACAAGGAAAACATCTTACCTTCCACTCAGAGATGAAAAGAAGGGCACTACATGTATTCCTAAGGGACCTCCTTCCCCTGAAATGTCCACTCTTCTTGTCATATCACTGGGGCAGAATAAACAGGAGCACAGATGAGACTCTGCTAAAAAAGCACGAGGCACATGAACAACCCACCCCTCCGTGCCACCCACTCTCCCAGGACCAACAGAACTACTACTGCAGTGGCAAGAGCGGTGAAGGACATCAAAGGATTGTACACCCTGTGGGTATGATCAGAAGATCCAACAGATGAAAATCTTTGAAAGGTTATCTGATTTTTAATTTTAACCTCTAGAAGAAGAAGAAAAAGGAAATGACTACCTACAAAATAATTCCCCACTTAATCTGCATAAGTCAACATTTTAAAAAAGATGTACACAAAAATAAAATTTCTCCCTAATGAGATTTACTTGAAAATTACAGGCCAGAAAATACATGGAAGTAAGTGTATTTATGCTTACACAGAAAGTAGGTGGCCTTTCTTCTCTGGAAGAGAGGAAAAGTGAAATAAACTATTTCTTAGGAAAAGCACAGAATTACAGTATATAATAGTTTTGAAGCCACAGTGAGTAATATATTTGGGCATGTTTGAAGCAATATAAGTCAAAACTTAAAATTGTATCAGTTGATTTCAGTGGAACAATTCCAAATTTTCACCTCCTGGTTGATTTATTTATTTTTTACAGGTAAAAAAAGAGGTTGCAGAAGCTGGAGAAAATGTTTTATAGAAAGAAATAGAAAATCTGACCTGCCTAACCTAGCCCAGATTAAGGAAAGAATGAGCTAGGAACATTAATGGATGGTGTGTATAACAAATATATAGAAGGCACTGGGCGCTTTTGAGTAATGTAGAGTAGAACTAGCAAGTTTTTGTAAAAATGAAAAATAATAACTGTGAATAATTATTGGCTCCTTTATTCTCAGAAAGAGAAAATAAAATTACCAGAGGAAAATGGTAAAGTTGGAGTAAACATCTCCTTTATGAAAAGTAGGCATGTTTCTATTGTTTTCTATTTACATGAAAATGACCTGAACCTAGATGTCAAATTAAGAACTACAGCTGTTAGAAATGCTTTTCTGCTCCAAATGAAAATGGTGAAATTTTGGTTCTTTGCTGGAAAATGGAGAACAGCATTAAGAAAGCAAAATGACTGATGAATTCACTCTGCATGAAACATTCTTTCCCAGCATCTAAAATAAACATTAAATATAATATTGTCCGTGGATTAGGCTTATTTTTAATGTTTTCTTTGCAAGCCTATTATCATTAAGAACTGAGAAAAAGAACACATTAGTTTCCAGTATTTGTGGGAGACAAGGAATTTCAATTTGATAATGAATATCAGATGGATTTTTACCCAGACATTGCTGGTGTACATATAAATTGTTCAGTCAAATAAGTTATACCAGTAGCTTGGAATAGAAATTAAAAGTAAAACAAACCTGAAAATGATAATATAAGATTAAATAATTCTACTCTACCTGTATGAGGGTATGAACACTTACAAGAACATATATACAGGTATATGGACAGGCAAATAAAAGTATGTATTATAAATCCTGAATAGAAAATGCTACGTAGACAAAGGAAGTTGTACAGATTTTCGTGGACCAAAGCAAAATTTTTGTATAATAACAAATTTATGGTACATTTTCACACAGTTCAGGAAGACTAGACCCAGAGCAGTCTCATTCTAGGTTTATGACACTGTTTTAACTACTTTTAAAATAGAGACTGAAATCTTATTTAATCATTGAAACATTATTATCTTTTCCTTTGTAATGTATTTTTACAGTTTTACACTGAAACCATAACACAAATCTTTCCTGATAAATGTCCACATGCTAATAGATAGCAAATATATATAATATATAGAGGCTTTAAAATATAAGTGTTTAGTCTAGTGTAGACTTCAAGATTTCAGTTTAGGAATTTTAAGGATGGCTTTTATAGATGATGACTTTTATGGGTTCCTATTTTTTTCCTACTTGTAAAGTATTTCTGCACCCTTACTCAAAACTCCTCCTGTAAATATAATAAATTCCATGGCTCATACTGAAACCTACTCTTCAGCAAGTGTTAACCCTGATTTTTACATTCACTTAATACATTTTACAGTATAAGCAATGAAACATACTTAATAATTTTTGAGGAGGATGGAGTTTTAAAGTTCATTTCTATGATTCTTCTTTTCAATATTTTAGATTATACTTTTAGCTTACCATTACACACTATAGCCAAAAAATTCTTTGGTTATTAAGATTTTTGGAAACTTAGGTTACAAGCCCAAAAATGTTACCATTCTAGAAAAAAAAGAAGATTTTCAGTTTTATTGACAATAATTTGCAAGCATTAACAAAAAATTAGATCTGCTAATAAAGACAAACATTACAATATTTACAATAATGTTTCACATTGTTCTTTACAAAATGTGAGCCATTATTTGTTTCAAGATAGAAAATATGTAAAAAGGAGGTCTCATAGACAAATTCACAGATTTTTACTTATTTTAAAAGGAATACATCTCCACAGTATCATACATACTTTGCAAAGTTCTATAGAAATCTATCTGCATACTTCATGGGATGTAAACACAGTAATTAGACTAGCTACAGACATTTTATTTTACTTTTTTGTTTTTTTGCGGTACTAGGGATCGAACTCACAACCTTGTGCTTGATAGGCAGGCGCTTATGCCACTGAGCTATATCCCCAGCCCCTAGATACACACATTTTAATACAGAACTTCTGTGGTGCCAGATGTGATGAATGAGGTGGGTGTGGGTACACCATAATGTTTTCATGAGCCTGCCTTTCTGTAGATGTCACTCAGCAGCAACATTCACTATGTTTTTACCACATCTGTAAAGACATTCATGAAAGGACACCCAGAACTGCTTCAGAAAGTGGCAAGAATGGTGAGATGTTTGCTTGAAGTGAGGCAAAGAGCTTCCAGGGGAATTAATGACCATATGTCTTTTACTATAATAAATTTTTTAAATTCAAACATTCATGGTGTTTTGGTCAACCTTTACGTATCTATAAAACTGACATTTCATGAAGATGTGCAAATGGGCTACTGATACTATTGTTTAGATGCTCCAGAGTACAGTTGAGGGACTAGTGAGCTGAGTACACCATTTACTTAGGTTTTGGAGGATGGTACAATGGCAAGAAGACATGCTGGAAGGCAGACTAAGAGTGAACAATATAGAAAACGAGGTAGAAAGGATATGCTAGCAATGAAAAGAAAAAGGAATTACAAAAAAAAAATAGACAAAAGATAAACTGTGTGAGGTAAAGTTGTATTTGTTTTGCAGAGAGAACACTTTCAAAGCAGATGTATCTCTGATGTGGTTCAGAGAAGACAGTACAGGATCACAACGAGAAACTGGGATCAGACAAAAAAAAGAAAAGAGAAGCTGGGATCAGGAAACTCTTCCTTAAGGTGGATGCACTTGAGAAAGGACTCTGAAGGACAAATTGATTTTCCATCAGAAAAAAATAGGTGAAGGGTACAGAGGGCACACACAGGAGGAAAGGCCATCTATACTGAGACTCTGAACCAGGATGGCTTGAGGACACACAGGAGGGGTGTAATATTACAGAAGGAGAAGACATGAAGAATGAGGAAGAGGAGGAAAAGGAAAAGGAGGAAGCAAAGAAGAGGGAGAGGGGTGGCATGTACAGAAGGCAGATGGAACCACTAGCTTCAAATCAAATATCCCAGTGATCAAATTCCAACCTGGAAAACTCATGCTTAATTTTGTAGAAAATAGTCACTAGAGGTTCTGGAACTAAGAAACAGTGTTATAAATGCTGTAATTTAGACATCTGTCTGGCACTTATATGTGGGATCAATCAGAAAAGGAAAAGGCAAGGGAGAGATTGGCACTTGAGACAAGAGTTAGTAAATTACTGCAATAATCTATCTTTGAGGGAACACAGGATTGAGCAATGATTACAGAATAAAGCATGAGACCTCGGGGACAGGTTCAAGATAACTGGAGATGAACTCTGCAAGTAATTTGCCCAATGAGTAGCTGTCATAGGCAGAAGAGAAGATAGGATAAAATATGACGGCAATTTTAAGCCTAGAAGAAAAGCCGTATCCTAAGCAGGATAACCTGGGGAAGCAGGAGTTGAGGAATAAGGTTGTGAGAAATAACAAGGAACTAGGTAGGGGCGAGGGATGGTCTTCCATATACTTCACTTACTATTTGAAGAGAAGTTCAAAGTACAGGTTTTAGAAAAAATACCCAAGAAATGCTTGCTTCATAGTCTTCTTATCAAAGTAACTGACATGGTGATTCACAGGGCATGTCCTATTATAAAATTATTTAGAGATCTCCCTTTAAATATTATTCTTTAAATAAAGATGCTTTGTTAATAACAGATGAATTCATAGTTATGCTTAAAATTCATGGATGAATTGATTGTACCATTCACTCATTCACTGACCAAATATACCCCAATTATATTCCAAGACTTGTATTAAGTGTCAGAAATCCTTTTGGAGGATTGCCTTGTTTGAGAAAAGAAATAGTTACAATAAAATGCAGAATATTTAATAATGATGGTGATAATTACAATAGCAATTAATGTTTATCTAGCTTTTTATTTAGGACTGTGCTAAGTCAATTGCTTGTAATATACCTTAATTAATCTTCTCAATCTATATGATCATGACACTCATTTTCCTTAAGAAGAAAACATTTTAAAGAGGTTAATTAGTCCAATATGGCACAGGTAGTTAGTAGCACAGTCAGTGTTCAAATCTAGGGATTAACTAAACCCAAGCGGAACTAAGGAAGGCTTTATATATTTCATCTAGTAGTAATACATGGGAGAAATTAGAATAAGGAGAGACTGATATTTGGGAGAGAAAATAGTAGTTTATGTCAATAGTCTAGGAGAAAGGCGAAAAAAGTTTTAGCAATGCCAATGGACATAGAATAGGTTCAAGACACATTGAAATGGATTCTGGAAATGATTTTCTTAGCTTCTATGCCACCTGCATAAAGTGTGTCCAAAGTCCTGTGGTAAGGCCAGCGTACGTGGGACAGCATTTAAAGTCCTCACCCCAGAAAGACGCTGGCCACATAATTCAGTTGGAAATAGCACCCTAATCTACATTTAACTGTTTTCCATTGTCTCACACCAGCTCAAAACAATATCCTCTGTTAGAATTGCAATCTTCAAGCTTTCCTCTGTTAGTTGCACATCTTTTACTATAAAGTTGGTTCTTGCCCTTGCCCAGCCTCAGGTCTGCACGGACTAGGAATTTATACTCATTCAATATTCTGAATTTGGCATGAAGCTGATTTCAGTTCTGGTTCTCCTACACTGGCACTCATTACACAAAGTTTCTTAGCCCTGGTTATGTGGCATGAAATAAAAAATGAAGGATTCAGAAGGTGCACACAAGTAAGTTTTGAATTTATGGATTTATTGAAAACAGCAGTAGATGTAAACTGTATCTCTGTTACTGTTATTGTCCTGAGTTGAAGTTCCTTCACCTACTAATAATGCAAAAGGTTGTTTTGATAATCAAAGTATACTTAAGTACATAAAACTTAGAAATTTAAAAAAATAATTCCTCTGCTCTATTTCTTGCAGTTCCCTGAACCCAGAAAAAGTTTAGATAATTTTTTCCTTCAACCATTAGCCAATAAGTGTGCAATCTGTGATAGGCACCCATTTATCCAAGATGTTAGCAAACTTTTCAAAAGGCTAACATTTGAAAAATGATATTAAAGCCGAATAGAATAAGAGTGCTATATCCACTATGACTCCCTCTAAAAAAACAGTATTATCAAGCTTCTGAAAATACAGTGATGTGGAGATTTTTCACACCAAATTTTTAATATTGTGCAGCTCATTAACCAGGAAAACAATTTAAATAAAAATAATTATGATCATATGGCTGTAAGTTACACATTTGAGAACACACAGCAGAACAGTGTGATAAACAATAATAACATATTTTTAAAGCTAATTTCATGCCAGTTGACTGGCACCTATTAGTAACTGGACATGTAGAAAAGAGCAGTATGAATGCATTAGCTGAATGATGAACATTGGCAGTATCACCTTCTAATGCTAAATAACCATATATTACATGCAAAATCACTACTGTTTTGCCAAATTTGAAGCAATTTAAAGAAATGATAATGACAATAATAAAAATAACATAAATCGAGAAGCACTATTAAAATATCCAAATTGTGAAACTCTTGCAGTACTGCTATAATGCTCAAAAATTTGGGATTTTGGAGCATTTCTTATTTCAGAGTTTTGGACTGGGCATGCTTCATTAAAAGGTGTAGGCAGCTATTCCCAAATTTAAAAAAAGTCCAAAATCTGATGCACTTCTGGCCCCTATTATTTTGGATAAAGACTAATCAACCTGGAACAGCGTCAAATACTCAGGACTCCATATGACCCAAGCACTGTTCCAAGTACTTTATCTATATTAATAAAAATAAAATTTATACATAGCAAAATAATAACTAATCCTTTATTAACCCTTTGAAGAAAGTGTTAATAATATTTATTTTTTATGGAGCAGAAACTTAGGCAAAGAACTTGCCTAAATTCATAGATTAAATAAACAGCAGAGCTGGGACTTGAACAGGCAGTACCTTGGCTTTAGAATTGGGCAGTTACTACAAGGAAAAAAAAAAAAAACACTGGCAAACATAGGCATAACTGACTTCAAATCATGAGTCACTGTCATTAACACCATGAAAAATTCTCACTGATAGACTGGATTCATTTTATATGCATCAAGTAAAAGACTGCAAGATTATTCAAACAATATAAAGCAGTACTCAGCTTGAATCAAAGTAAAACATTCAACCACAATGAACTCTGAAGAAGTGTTCACTTTAAACTGCTGCTCAAAGAGAAGGAAGAGTAATTAAGAAATCCTGGTTGCAGAAGAGTATCGGAAGGATTGAGATCACTTGGATACACATGTTTGTCAGTGAGTTCTCATATCTTCTACAAAAAATGGGAGAAAAAGGACAACTATGTAATTAATGTTAGAATTAGAACGTGCTTCATGTTACAGTTCTACTTATCTTGGTCTTTCCTGTAAAATAAAACCAGTTAAAAACTGTGAAAATAAACCAGGATTGAGCTGAAATAAAGAAAAATATTCTTATTTGCATAAAGAAAATACCTCAATGCATCCTTTATTTTTGGCGACATTAGTAGTTCCGTCTGTACACCATTCATCACTTCTCTGTCTTCCAAGTTCTGTGTGGAATCCTGTAGTGAGACAAACCCATAAGCATGTGGGTGCTGCACATATAGAATTGAAGATTTGAATAAAATATCTCAACGTGGGAGAGTAAATGGTTTTATTCTGGATATAGACCGCATGTTCCAATTTCTTTTAAGACTGGTAACAGGTGTTAATCTTTTCAGTGCTTTCAATGTACTTTTCTCTCTCATTTGGTTTCTCAAATGTTCAAATGGCCCATTCACACAAGGCAATATGTTAAGAGCTTCAGAATTCATCATTTAGCTTCCTGCTACTCAATCCTAGGCTTTTGGGACTGCCTTTTAAACCAGCACAGAAAAGGAACACAGAAGGGAGGGAAGGCTGCAGTGCCAGACAGGTGGTGAGATGTTTTAATGCACTGTACTTGCTTGTACCCCCATGATACAGTACTAAAATATAAAGAGAACACAACCATGAAAAAATGGGGCCTGCCAAAGTCATTTCTGGCTAAAGTGCACAGGAACACTTCTGGAAGAAGAAAGCCAAATTCCTTCATCATGAGACTTGGATTTTGAGGATGCACTTTACAGAAAGGAAATGAAATGACCCCTTAATTTTTAAGTTTAACACACTCTGGCCACAGACAGGCAGGAGGATCAAGGGAGGGGCTAAAGCCTGGAGTCAGATGGTGGTGCAGGACAGTGGTGACGTTGCATTGGATGATACCCAGAGAAGTCAGAGGAGAGGACGGGCTCTAGACAGCAGCCCACGGTTGCTTCTGCTTTGTAGAAGACATCAGTTCTCTGCTAGGCTGTGGAGCTGTTCTTTAACAGATAATTCTGTGAATCCCACTTTTCAGAAGCTGAGTCACAAACACTATTAGTCCTGAATTCTGATTTCATTGAAACAAGCCACATGGAGAGAGATGCACAAGCAAAACTCACACCTGTAAACAGCATTTAGGACCCTGAATGCATCATCCCAACAAAAAAGAGGGCAACATGTGAGCTTCAGAATGAGGACATAAGTGAATTAGGGTGATATCAAGAACACAAGGTTCAGCTACATCAGAAGCACTTTGATGTGGCAAACTGATTCTTACAAAAACTGTCTTTTGTTTTTAGACTATGGAGCAGTATTTCACATAGAAGTGGGTGGTTTTTTGAGACTTACACCCTAAATTCATTGTACTTTTACTTCAAGTAATTTTCTTTATCAGTACGTATATGTAGTGCCCATGTTCACATTCCTTGTGGGCAGTTGGGACATGCAAATAACACATCTTAAATCCTTTCTTTATCTCCTTTCCCTCCATTCCCTTCCCTGTCCTTTCATCTCTTGATCCCTATTTCCCATGAGAAAGACGTACCTCCCTTCTTCCTATTATGTATTTTATTATTTTGCTCTTTACTTACACTATGGGTCTGTCATATAAGAGAAACCATGTAGTATTTAAGCTCGTGTGTCTAATTTATGTCACATAACATTACTGTCTCAAGTTGCATCCATTTTCCTACAAATGACTCAAGTTTTTCTTTATGGCAGAATTATACTCCATTGTGTGTAAATGCCACATTTTCGTTATCCCCTCATCTGTTGATAGAACATAGGATGTTTTTAAGATTTAGCTATTATAAATTATGCTGCTATAGATATGCATGTGTCACTGTAATATGATGTCTTTATCTCTTTAGGGAAGATACCTAGATGGAGAAAAACTGGGTCAAATCAAATTTCTAGTTTTAGTTTTTTGAAGACTCCCTTACTGATTTCCACAGTAGTTGTACCAGTTTAGACTCCCACAGTGAAGAAGCCCCTCTCCCACATCGCCAGTATTTGGCTAGAAGGCTAGCCAGGCTTTCTGGAGTCTCAGTGTTGTTTTCACCTACATTTCTTTAGTGGTGAGTGACCCTGAATATTTGTTCATGTATTTATTGGCCATTTGTATTTCTTTTTTGTGAAGCATTTGTTCACACCCACCTCTGTTGACCAAGCAGACCTTGCTGGATAATAGGCACCCTCTTTAGAATTTTTTAAAATTTACTTTTCTCCACTTGAGTGAAGAGAAGAAGCTCTGTAAGCTTAAGAGACATTTCATAGATTGGTGTTCCAAATGTTAAAAGATGAACATTTTTGCAAGCGATTGAACACTTGTGTTATTATGAAGGTCTTGACAAATTACTACAGAGAAAATGACGTGGGATTGGGCAGGTTACAAAAACACTTAGGCAGAAAAATGTAACAAAAGGCTTGAACCTGTCACTATGATGTATGTCAAGACATTTGACAACTTCATTTATGCTCAACTCATTAAGTTTCTTAGCTGTTTCTCTTACATGAGAGAAACTTGTGTTGGATTCTCTAGATATCAAGCACAGAACACATAGAGTTCATTGTATTTAGTTTGCTTGTGATGGATAATAAACTGTCAACAAATTTAAGGATCAGAAAACATTTACTAGCAGGCATCGATTCTATGAGTTAGGACTTGTAAGAGGCATGATGGGATTTAACAGTAGAGTGAAAGGTCTGCTGAGGCATCCACTTTAGAATTTTTTCTGAGGGTACAGTCAAGATGTCTGCAGGCTGCAGCATTAGAAAGACTTGCTTGGGGCTTTAGGATCAAAATTTTTTTACAATGGCTTTACTGAGATATACAGTAGTTCACATAAGATTCAACCTCTTAAAGGGTACAGTTTGGTGGCTTTGAGTATATTCAGTTCTGCAAACATCATCACCAAAGTTAGATCATTTTTATCATCCAGAAAGAAAACCCATATCCTTTAGCAGTCATTCTCCATTTTCTTCTCTCAAGACATCTGCCACCAATTATATATCTACTTTCTGTTTTCTAGTATTGCTTATTATGAATATTTCATATAAAGAGAATCTATCTTAAATCCCTTTCTTTTTGTTGGGACAAAATACCCAACACCCACAACTCAAAGGAAGAGAGGTTTTTAGAGAATTTAGAAGATTCAATACAGAGTTGGCTGGCTTCCCAGAAGAAAGCGAATAGCAAGAAGGGCCAGGGCAGAGGACAGCTGTTGAAACCATAGCAGCCAGAAGAAGAGAAGGGAGGAGCTAAGAGTAGGAATACACCTTTTCAGGGCACACCCCTATGACTGTCATCCAGCCAGGCTCCACTCCCAGCACCACTATAGTTGCCAAACTCATCCATGGCCTGATGTGCTGATGAATATTACACCCCCATGATGCAGTGGCCCTACCAACATATGAAGGCTTGGGGGACATTTTTAACCTAAACCATAGAAGTATCAGGAAACAGTTTCTTTCACTCAGAATGTTGTCTAAGCACACATCAGTATTTCATTATATTTTACAGATAAATAATATTCTAACTATGGATATCCCACACTCAGCTTTTCCATTCAGCAGCTAAATTTGCACTAATTCCAGTTTTCCCATTATGAATAATGCTGCCATGAACGTTTGCATACCAGTACTTGTGTGAACATGTTTTCTGTCCTCTTGGGTGTCCACATGAAGAAATGGAACTGTTGATTATGTAGTCTAACTTATTTCTTTATTTTTATTACTTATGTTTTTGGTGGTGTTTCTAAAAAATTTTGCCTAATACAAGGCTAATACAAATAATACAAATTTGTTTCTGTGTTTTGGGAGTTTTATGATGTTAGCTGTCAGGTTTGGGCCTGTCATCATTTTGAGTTCATTTCTACATGTGGTATGAGGTAGGGCTTCAAACTCATTCTTTGCATGTGGATATATAGTTTCTTGAATCATTTGTTGAAAAAAATTGTTCCCGATTAAATTATTTCAGTATCTGTATAAAAATGTTTATTTTTGGTCTCTCAATTCTATTTTATTGCTATATCTATCTTTAGGTCAGCACTACACAGTTTTGATTATTGTCACTTTGTATTGTTTTGAAATCAGAAAGGACAAATCTTCCAGATCTGTTCATGAAACCTCGAAATGTCTTTCCCCTTCAATATTATTTCATTATTACATTTCTATATTAATTATATTTCTATATAAATTGTAGAATCAGCTTGTGAACTTCCTTTAAAAAGCCAGTGAGATTTTGATAAAGACCACATAGAACTTATGGCTTAATTTTAGAGAGGAATGCCATTTTAACAATATGGAGTCTTTTTTATTTTATTATTTTTTATTATAAAGACAAAAAAATGAAATAAAATTTTAAGACAAGATAATAGGAGGGTAACAATGGTTAATACATTGCATATTGTTATCTTTAAATTAGTTACTCAGAGCACAAGATATAGGCATTTAATTGTCCAAACAATATTAGCACAAACCTTCCTTTTCAATGAACTAAGAGAAATGAGTAATATAACTCTCATATATATACATATATACATATTTAGCTCTCATATATATATATATGTATATATATTTGCTTTTTGCTTTTCACTTCTTTCTTTTTCCATTTGCCCACCTCAGTTTCTCTTTCCTTTTAAATTTTCTTCCCATTTCACAATATCTACTGTACATTTTGGATCTTATTTACTCTTTCAACTTCTCAAACTACAGAGACAGTACGATGTTTACACGTGTCTTGTTTATTTCACTTATCAGTACAGTCTCAAGTTGCATTCATTTATCTATAAAAGTCTCCAGTTTATCCTTCCCTATATAAAGGCTTTCAACCCATGAACAGTTAACAGCGTCAGTTAATTAAAATAAATATTCTTTTTGGTTTTGTAATTCTGTCTGTCTGTCTCTCTTCTCAAATACATACTATAAAGGTTTAACACTCTACTTAATCCTTTATTTTTACCTCACTGTGCCTTACACCAAGCGCAACTTTCTTGTTGATCCCTAATCAACACAGGAAACCAACAGACTTTCTATTTCAAACAACATTATCTAAGGTTAAGGGGAGTTTTTCTTCTAGTTCCAGTTAGATGGCAAGTAAAGGTTTTACTTATGTCAACAGATATTCATGCTCTGAATATTTGGAAATATCAATTTCAGTTGTAAAGTACTATGTGCTAATGTGCTCTTGAGTAACTCTGAACCGAGTATACATTTGGAG